CCTGGCTGCTAGGATGAAGTGGGGGTGTTTGTAGGGGGTGTAGTCAATGACTATTAAACTACTAAGTACTTAGGGCACCCAATCACTTTGTCCTAGTAATAGGAAAAAAAATTTTATTGAACTATGCAAAAATACTTATTTTGTAGCCAAAAATGTGTGTGGATTGCCCCTATGATAGCCTAGAACAAGCTTAAAGTTTATTAAATACACTTTTCCGAAGCAACCACATCTTTATGAGTTAATCACATCGAAAGCACTCTTGATGCCCAACACCTGCCCTGGAATATACCTGGCATGTAACAGATACTCTTATGCAGTACTTAAAATTATATAAAATATGTAATAAGAATTATTTCTAACATGCTAATAAGTTTCTCTAGTGAGGTTGGTCCCTGCTGTGCCCTGGAACATTTAGCTCACAGTATCTTGTATTTCCCTAGAGACTTCCTTTTTGGTATTTGGAGTCACTTAAAGATAAACTTACTGAGTCTGATAGTCTTAATTTTTTTATTTTGTTTTAATTTTAAATTGATAAATTATAGCCTTAAAAATTATATTTTTGTCTTACCATTGTTTTAGCACAGATAAAGTATCTCCTGGGTTATAGCACATTTCTGATTTACAGATAACACAGATATGTCTAAGAAAATAAAAGTGATTTTTTGATTTTGTGTCTGAATTTTTAGAATCTTTCAAAATAGACAAAAAGGTGAAACCAAAGTGTTTCTTTTCCTAAAGCAGGCCCCAGTCTGCAACCCGCAACCCACAGCCTAGATTACAATAATTTTCTTTAGGTATTTTCAACTGAATAACTGCACTGTGTACTTTCTGGAAAACCTGGCTGTGACCCAGTGGGGAAGAGAAAAACTATGTTTGACTGATTAGTAATGAGACTCCAGAGGTGGCATGGGGTGTTCTGGGTTCTGTCAGCTGCTGGCGAGCCACACCTTGTATCCAGAGCAGTGTGGAACTCAGGGAGGACAGGACACGTCCTGGTGATGGTGTCATCAGCACTTTGTGGAGTGCCCAGTCTCGGGAGAGACTGCTCACTGTTTGGTGGTCTTTGTGTTCTGGAAAATGTTGCTTTATGTGTGAAAGTGGGTCAGGATTTGAGCTTAGCTGCAAACAAACAAAGTTTAAAAAAATAACGAAATGATACTAGTCACACAATTGGACTGAACTAAGGGGAGAGCCAAGTGGTTGGAGCATTTGCCTAGCATGTGAGAGGCCCCAGGTGAGATCCCTAGCCCTGCAGAGAGAGACAGAGAGAGAGACAGAGAGAGAGAGAGAGAGAGAGAGAGAGAGAGAGAGAGACAGACGGACAGACAGACAAGAAAATACACAGAACATTTCAAATGGGGAGAGAGGGAGAGAGGAAGAAAGAAAAAATAAAGCTAAAAATAAGCACTGTGCTTGTTCAAATAATTTTATCTGCTTGTTCTTGGCATCCTGTGTGTGTGTGTGTGTGTGTGTGTGTGTGTGTGTGTGTATTAGCACTTTAATTCAGCTACATTGACTTCATTGAGCTACATTCCCAGATCTTTTTTTTAACTTATTGTTATGAGTCAAGGTCTTGCTAAATTATCCAGGCTGGATTTAAACTTGAAATCTTTCTGCTTCAACCTCCCAAATACTGGAATTATAGGCATGCACCACCACCCCTGGCTTGCTGTTTGTTTTAAAAGCAGAATCATACAGCTTCACCATAGTGTCTTGAGGGAGCTGAGTTAGACACTGATTTGGGAAGGCTGCCCTTGATGGGTAGAGAGTAACCCCCACCTCTCGGGGCCTTTGTCAGCTCACTGGGCTCTGGAAGCTACTTGTCAGCTGGGCTCCCTGTGCTCATGGTAAACATACATGCTTCCAACACAGAGGTGCCCAAGCTCTGTGTTTCAGGATTAACAGGGAGAAGACCTCTGTGAAATGTCACTTTATACAGGAAAAATAGTTGCATCTTTGGGGAAAAAACAGCTGGGGATAAAAACAAGAAAGCAGGAATTGTAAAAAAGATCTTCTCAAAGGTATCTGACAGGTTAAAATGCCACATGTCTGTAGGTTAGATGTTATCAAGCCTCAAAGATGTGGGTTTTGCTGGGGTGGAAGTTAGGGGGCAGGCTGAAATGAAATCTCACGGTCCTGGTGAACGATTTCCTGTCACTTGCAAGCTTCATGTGATGTGATGAGGACTGTAAAGATCCCCAACTAATAAACCGCAGAGCCGAGCTCCTAGCCAGGCTGGTCCACGGAGAGGCTGTGTTTGCTCAGTGTGCTTTGGGGTACCTGGGTCCTCCTCTTGGGTAAAATGTTATATTTTATTTCTGGATCATTCTGGGTTTTCCCCATCTTTGCCTTTCTGCTTCAGTGCATTTCTGCTTCTCCAAACGGCAGTGTTTATTTTATCTTTGGCACTTGCGATCATCTTCTTCTTGTCTTCCCCTTGGTGGTCACTGAAGTGTGGGGAATTGGAGAAAGCAGCCCTGCGGGCTCCTGAGGACTTTCCTGGGTGAATGTACATGATTGCTTCCTTCCCCGAGGAACCACTTGCTTACTGTCATAGCACTTAAATTGTGCATCTTTCTTCCTACCGGAAAAGAAGAACATCAATGAAATGGCTTTGATTTCCTGATCAGAGGCTCAGCATCCTGTTTGGTTAGTCTACTGCTGGAACAAGAAAGGTGCAGGGCCTGGGCCCTAGGCCAGTGGTGCTAGAGTCTCTTACATAAATACAAGGCTGGAAACATTTTTTAAATTGTGAAATCATTCAAGTTGCAAATGTTGATAAAGCTTAAAGTTTATTCTGATGACCAAACTGAACCTATCTGACAACCAGACATAGCCTTTGGGGCTGTAGTTTCCAATATCTATAGTTGGAGGGCCTGTGTGGTACTGATTTTAAAGAAATCTGAACCTTCTAGATGGAGAAGTGGGATTTTATAGGCTGGACAGTAGATGAGCAGGGGAGGAAGGAGGGAAGGCTTACACAGGGCTTTCCTTTGCCTGGAGAAAGGTGGGGAGGTGGGCGCACACTGCTGAGGCTGGGGCCAGGCGAGGTGTGGGCTGCATGTAACCAGGGGCTGCCTTTGGCAGGATTGGGCCTCATTGGGCAGGATTGAGACAACTCAAAGCATTTGGCAGGGAGAAATCCATGTCCCTTCCTTTGCAAGGCAGGTCCAGACATTGACAGCGTCACTTCTGTTCACACCTCATCAGCACAACCCTGATGACAAGGCTGCTCATTTAAAGGCTGGAGTAGCTTTTAAAAGAAATGTGTCTGCCCTTTATAAGGCCAAAGTCAACTAGTGACCAGCATTTCCTTGTTCCCTTTTCTGCCCCTCCATTCCCGCAAAGGACTTTGTCTTTTTAACTTTTTTTCCCTGGTGCATTTCTTCTCACTGAAAAGCAGTAATTTCCCAGTTGGTATCTCTGTACTCAGTGCCTGAATTTTCAAACTCATTATGTGGCTCTCTCTCCCAGTGCTGGTTTCTTGCTTGGAATTTTTGTATCCTTTGGGCTTAGAGTTTTTACTCTAGGAATGGCCAGAGACAATGCGAAGAGACAAAACTCGGAAGGTGGGGTGAGTTCCTTGAAAGGGTGCTCAGCCATAGATTTGGGCCAGCAAATAGCTGAGAGGGTTTGATTGATCTAATTCTGAGAATGTTGGAGGGCAGACTATTGTAACTAAGGAGGATATAGCTCCTTCTGTCTCATAGGTGAAAAACTCAATGAGGAGGTATAAGTCCAAAGTCACCTGATTACACTGAGGTGTAAAGATCACAATAACTCTAGAAAGCAGAAAGTGGTGATGCAGAATGTGACCTACCTTAGCACAGAAAGGAGGGGCCAACTTGTATTGAGTAACTTTTGAACTCTGTTACTTTTTTTAGCCACAGTTTCTTCATATGAAAAATAAAAATTCTAATGGTAGCTAACATTTATAAAATATTGACTATGCCAGGAACTATTCTAGGAACTTTATATGCTAACATATAATTCATGATGTGCATACTTTACTTCTCCATTTTTCAGATGTACAGAAAAGATATATAGCTTAATCGTGATCATACACTTAGCAATTTAGTTTTCTATTAGATCTTTATACATTTCCATGAACTCAATGATTTAGGACAACCCATGCTGTTGTTTCAATCATGGTAGGTCAATCATCTTGGGCACATCTTACTTACCTTGTTTCTCAAAGCATTTAGGGAGGTGTTGACCAAGGATAGGGGACCGCCTGAGGTTTGGGATTCTTTTCAAAGTTCAAGTGGTTACTGGCAGAATTAATTTTTGTAGCTACCAAACACATGGCATTTGGGTCTCCAATGCCTGCAGACGATCATCTCCTTTCTTCGAAAGTCTCACCTCCTTAGGTCAGGATCACTCAGGACAATCCCCCTTTTGATCAATTTCACATCCACTGACTAAGGACCTTAATATGTCTTCAATATCACTTTACCTTTGGAACATAGCATAAAATAATCACAGCAGTAACAGCCTGTCACCTTTTCTGTGTTCAGTCAGAAGCCAGTTACAGGTCTTGTCTGCAGGGAATTAAAGAAACTCACAGATCCCTGCATGCAGGAGCCCCAGGCACATTAGAATTTTGCCTACCACAGCTCCAAGGCTGAGTTTAAACCCATTCTGGCTCTAAGTAGAGTCCATGGCCCAAGGTTCTTATCTTAAACCGAACGTGCTTCTTTCTTTCTTTGAAGAAAATGAAACTACTACGTCAAACCTTTGCTTGGAATTATAAATAAAGGAATACCCAGCAATTGTAAATATGAATTCCCTTCACATCTCCATTTGTAAAGGTTAATTTTTAAGAAACCCTAGCTACCCACAGTTTTGTGTTTTCTGAAGAGATTTCCAAAAGCCTCTCTAAATACCCTGGTTATATAAGTTATTTCAGTGTGTTTATGTTCTTTTGACTATGAAGTTTGGGACTGGAGACTGGGGTTCTGCACAAATAACCTTAGCTTTGATTTTTGTCTTTGAAACAGATGAAGTGACAGAGAAGAGACAGCAAACGCCTTCCTTTGACTGACAGGACAGCATGGAGCAGCCATTTACCGTGAACTGTCTGGTAGGTCACACCACCTGGTATTTTCCATGTGCTTGGAAAGCTGAAAATCAAGCAAAGAAACCGATCAAATATTCAGTGAATCACAAGTTGTTTAAGATGTTTAGCATTTGTAGGGTTGGGTTTTTTCCTTTAAATTGATCTGTCTGGTCTTCTCCTTTGAGGAAGTGACTAATAAAGCCACTTCACAAGGTTTAAAAATAATTTTACCCCATAAAAGTGTGAAATTTTAATTTGTCTCGATACTAGGAAGGTGACCCTTTGGAAAGACACTGGAAAGAATTTTTGAGCTGACATCATGGTAGGTACCTAACCTTCTTGGACACTTAGGTTTTCATGGATAAGAACTGGAGACTTACCTGTGTGCTACTAAGGAAAGCATTTACATGTCTCACGTCTGGATGTTAGTTTGCAGTGCTGTGTCAGTGGCTGCATACCTGAAACTTGTTCTAACTTTTCTCCTTACTGCCCAGGATGTGTTACTTTGTGTAGCTACATTTTAACCAAGAGGATGCCATACTTTTTCTAGTTACAGCTTAGAAAGAGAGTGCGCCAGAGTGTGCGGAGGAGGAAATAACAGGGACATTAGAATCACTTAGACTTATTAAGTGTCCCAGATCAGTCTCGGAATGTGAATATAGGTACGTTATATAATTGCTGTTGTCCTGATTTGGTACATTGTGCCTTATAACTGGAGACAATATTTTTCATGTTCCCAGCCTGTCATGGTGGCTTGATGAATGAGCTGCCATTTACCTCCTCCTGACCACACTCCCTGACTCACTCACAAAGGGGCACTGCTTTGAGCAACAGTCTGTGAAGTACTCTGTGCATGCAAAGGATAGAACCAGGACATAGAGAAATGGAAGGCTGCTCTTACTGAAACACATTGTGACCTAATATTGTTTCTTGACCAGGAAAGTCCTTTACAGGAGCTTAGTTGTATTCAAAACATGTTAGAGAGGGAGGGAGTTGGAGGAACATTTTCACTTTGTGAACCCGTGTTGGCCTTTCACAGTGGAATAATAAAGAGCATCCCATTTCTACCTCTGCAGAAGAAGGAATTATTCACACAGGTTTATATGTTTATCCAGAACATGAAATAGAAATAGGTAAAATTTTATTGTATTTATCACTATAAAATGAAGACTAAGGCTTTTTCATCAGAAATTTATGTTTTTTTAATCGATGATGCTCACATAGAAATGTCTAGATTGAAGAAGGTTTTTGTTATTTCCTAGTTTATCTCTGAAATTAATTTTAAATTAAGAAGAGTAACATCATTCAGAAGAGAAGAAATCCTTTTTTTTATCTTCTGGACTAAAAATAATGTGATTATAGTTGTATAACTGCCTTTTCTGTCTTCCCTCCTCTTCTCCATTCTGCTGTTGAGGATTGAATCCAGGCCTCCACTGACCCCTCAGCTCCATTTTCTCTTTTTTGTTTGACACACTTAGGGATTATCTAATCTGTTTCAAGGAATATGCTAGAGACAAGAAGTGAATGGAAAATGATTTCTTTTAAAACTTCAAGGAGTTCATAAGGGTTGGGAAACACTTGTACAGAAGTAATTGTGATTCATTGTGGACTGTATACTAATAAAGCGGGGGAAGGTATTGTGCACATGGGAAGCCTCTTTAGAAGATGCTCTAATGTCCATAGATTATTTCCCAGCCTTTTGTTTTATGTCACTGAGGCAGTTGTCTGTGGTTTAGTAACAATATTGTCATTTCATGCTGGTGAAGATTATAGGTGAATGTGGTTAGGGAAGAGCGGATAGACTGCTGGAGCGTTACGGACATCTCAACTGGAAAATTCTCATTTGTCAAGACTAAGATTCAAGTTCACAATCTCCCATTCTCAGCTCTGCAGGGAAGCCTGTGACAGCTACTCTGAAATTACAGAACCCTTCAAGCTGAGCATGGTGGTGCATGCTTGTAATTCCAGCTACCTGGGAGACTGAGGCAAGAGGATCACAACTTTGAGTTTCACTGGGACAGTGTAGGGCCTTAGTGAGACCTTGTCTCAAAAATGAAAAATAGAAAAAGGAATAGAGATCTAGCTCAGTTTAAAGATAATGAATTCAATCCCCAGTACTAGAAAAATAAAACAAAACTGGAAAAAAGACAAAACCAAAGAATATCCTTCAGAGAACTAAAAGAATAGTGCAATAGAATATGGATCAAAGCAAGTATATTTTTTTTAAAAAGGCTTATACTTTTAAAAATTGTCATAGAATGTTTTTCCATAATTGTAGGATACAGTGTGATAAACTGATATGTGTATACTGCAAGTCATGATAAAATCTGGGTAATTAACATTTCTTTCTCCTCAAACATTTATCATTTCTACATGTCAGAAGCTTTTGGACCCTTCCAGTTATTTTGAAATATTCAATAAATTATAGTCTGTGGTTACTCTACTGTGCTTTATTTATTTATCTTTTGTGGTGCTGAGGATTAAATCCATGGTCTCCCACTGAGCCACGTTCCCAGTCCCACTATGGTGCTTAGAACACTGGAACTAATTTCTCTAACTGTGTTTCGGCACTTGTTTCCTAATAAAGGGAACATGTTTTAACGTGACACAAAGTCTCTTAGGAATGGCCTGAGCACTGATGTTACTACCAGTCATTCCTCTGTACTTGCAGAATTCTGCCCAAATGAGAACAGATCAAACATTCCCACTCAGTGAGGACCCAAACTGAATTCACACCTTATTCCTTGTGACTTAGGCCTGACCTCTCACTCCCCTGGAGAACAGAAGAGGCCACATCTTTTATCTCTTCGTCCTTAGTTGACTTGGCTTTCCTATATAAAGGATAGCGTTAGGTCTTCCAGGAGAGGCAGCCCAAGCTCTGGAAGCTTCTAGGGAGAAACTGCACAGAAGTCTCACCCATGTTTCTGCAGGCCAGGTCAAAAGCATAAAAGCGGATGCAGGAGGAGTGGCCTGCTTTTGACTAACTGAAACCTTGAGAAACTTGTTTATGGCTTTCTGGTTATACATATTAAACTTTGAGGAGCAAGAGTCATTTTAGGTCCTTGAGTTTCTGTTTGCTGTAAAACTATCATGAAAATAAACCAGATGGCACTGGAAAAGCTTCAGACAGCGAATCTGCTATACTCTTTTCAGTAATTCATGCCAAACTAAAACTGTCTACGTTGATTTCTTTTTTCTCATAGCTTTCTAAGGACCTGATTCAGGTGCTCTGTCCACACTGCAGTGGGACGTACACTCTACATTTAACTGATGGAGGAGGCCTCCGGCAGGGAGCTTGGCTGTGGGCCAGCTGAGAGCATCTCTTGGCTGTGGGCACATGCTTGAGAGCCTCTGGGAGCGCGAGTTACAATGTCCGCCCTCCAGCCTCCCTCCAGAGGTCCTGAAGCAGGGCCCGTGAGGAATCTGCAGTTTTATAAGAGGTCTCTTTGTTGCTCACGCTGCTGTTTCATGGACCATACTTTGAGACACAGGAGTCTAAATCAGGAGAAAGCAAACTGGCTCAAGGATAGAGTCAAAGTCACCGCTTGGAACTCAGCCAGCCTCCTGTTTCCATGTTGCTTATGGCTGCTCTCCTAGCAGGAGTGTTCAATTCAAGCTGTGACAGAGACCCTGAGACACTTGCTATTGGACCCTTAATAGAAAAAAATTCTTGACTTTTTCTCTTTTCTTTTTTGCTTTTTCTGAAGCACTGACTTTTTACTGAATAACTGAATAATTAACCTGAAAAATATATCTCCTTATGTGTTTCCAAATGCACATAAACACGGGTTTTTTTAAATAAAATTGAAATGTACTAATTGCAACTTTCTTAGTTAATTTATTACTAGTATTTTCTCAATCAAGAACTAATTAACAGCATAATTAGTATTATGTGGCAAACAGCTTTTCGTATTTTAAAAAAAATGGGATTGGAGATTCTTAATGCTTGGAAATGCTTTTCCAGAACATTTTGGTGGGTTTTTTTTTCCTTTTAATTTGTGAAGATGGAGAGGGGGGCTGAAAATTTCTTATTAAACTAGATCTATTCAGCAGGGACTCAAATCCTGAGGGTAATTCTGAATTCAGTGACCACCTTGAGACCCTTCAGAGAAGGATGAGAGCCCTTCTGTGAAGTGATTCATCCGGGGCCTGCTCCACATGAACGTCCATGGGAGCATGGATGAGGTCCACAGTATTTTACCTAAAATCACCTAAAGCACACACCTAGGAACTGCCACCTAATTTTATCATGAAATACAAAGAGGTTCTTACTTACCTAAAAATGTAAGGTTATCTTACATGTGTGTCTTTTTGGTGTGTTTAAGTAAGGACTTTGCTTGATCATATCACTAACTCTTATGAAAAGATTCCCTGATGTCAGATTTTTAGCATATAAAGTATATTCATTCATCTGCCATATTCTTTTCCTACTGTAGTCAGGTATTTAATTTTGCTTTGCAGAAAAAGTTAGCTGCCATGCCTGACCACACAGATGTCTCCCTAAGCCCAGAAGAGCGGGTCCGTGCGCTAAGCAAGCTTGGTTGCAACATTACCATCAACGAAGACATCACACCTCGCCGCTACTTCAGGTCAGGGGTAGAAATGGAGAGGATGGCGTCTGTGTATTTGGAAGAAGGAAACTTGGAAAATGCCTTTGTCCTTTACAATAAATTTATAACGTAAGTGTTTCTTTAATTGTTGTTTATTGGTTTTAGAGACCTTTGAAATGAGCAATTAGAAAAAAGACACATGATATTTTCAGGTGGCAGTGTGGGATTCCAGAAGAGTTTTCATATTCAAACCAATTGCACTGTTTCTCAAAACATTAAATACCAAGGCTTTTTTAAGTTACATAAGAATGAACTGAAAGGCCCCCAGACACCCTCTCTGGGGCTCAGTGGGGAGTGGAAGGTCAGAGAGGAGTTGAGGCCCTCAGCAGATCAGCCCTGATCTGGGGTCCGGGGGTCTCACTTTTCGCAAGTGGAGTTCCTTGTTCCGTGCTCGTCCTTCCCCACAGGATGGCAAGCTTTGTGAAGGCAGAAGCCCTACTTCAGGTCCATCGACAGCATCTAGGACATGTCACCAACATTTAAAACATGTAATATGATGGGCTGAGACTTGAGTACAAGTTGGGAAACATAGAAGAGATGTGATTCTGGGAGAAGGCCTTCAGTTCCATAGAGGACTTGCTATTCTTTAAAGCAATTTATTTTGTTACATAAGAATCCTAGGTACAGAAGTGCTTTCAAAATGTTGAATGAAAGTGGCTACATCAAAATAGCTATGTAAAAATAACATATTTCGCACAAGGAATTTGTTGGTAACATAGCTTAGGAATGAACAGAAATGGGATTTGGACTTTCTTACCAGTTTAGCAGATTAACTGGCTAGAGAGATCTCTTCTCAATAATTACTTACTCTAAGCTAAATGTTTTATTGGTTTCAATTGAAATCATGTGTTGGTTAATTTCACTAGTTTACTTTTAATTTTATTTTAATTGACAAGTAATTATGTATATTTATGGTGTACTTGTGGTATTTCTATAGATGTATACATTGTGGAATGACTAAATCGAGCTAATTAACATACCCATTGCCTCACATGCTTACCATTTGTTAAGTAGTGAGAATACTTCACGCCTATTGTTATGGCAAGTTTTATAATGGTCACAGTGTTACACACTGCTACACAGCCTCCTGAATTTATTCCTCCAACGGAACTGAAACTTTGTGCCGTTTGACCAGCATCTTTCCAATCCCATCCCTCTCTCCCCAATCTGCAAGTACTTCCTGCTTCTTGAGGCCAGCTTTTTAAAATTCCACATCCAAGGGAGATCATGGAGTACTTTTCATTTTATACCTTACAGTTTCAATTTCACCCTTGGAGGGGGAGCTTACCCTGAATATACTGGAGAAATTGAACAGATAAAGTAATTTAAAAACTGTATTCCGTCATTCTACCAAGGACAAAATTAAAAAGCAGTTCACATAGCATACACATTTCTAAGGTACTTACCTTGAATATTTAGCTTGGACATTTAGATAATAAGTGAAAACCTTCACCCTATCTGGAAAAATCAGTTGTATTTTGGAATTTAAGCAATAAATATGAAATTGAAGTTTATCTCCTACCACTGACAGCAACAACTTTGCAAAACTTTTTTGTGTCTGCATTGTGGTATTAATAGATAATACATTCTTCACTTTCTGCTCCAGTTTTGCTCACACTGGTATGGAATCCTCAGTGCGGTAAAGGAGAGAAACCACCATGCCCGAGTTACTGAGTACTCAGAGTGATTGAATTCTCTCATGTCATTAGCGATGTGGTAATTTGTGCCTCACTTACTGTCTCTGGGCCTCAATGCCCTCTCTACAAATGAAAGACTTAGGGGAAAAGAATCTCTGGGAAATTCCTTTAGCTCTTAGTATTTGTGATTTTAATTGTTATGAAGTCTGAGAGAGCTAACAACTTTCATGCTGCTTCTCTATGCATTAATTTTCTCATCTGAGAAATGGAAGGTAAGTTGCCATTTCTGTCTCCCCATGGCCTGATTATCAGGCAGCATGACGTGATGAATGTGTGCATGTGGTTTGTAAACAGTACAATCAGTAATTGTAATGTCTTCAATATTAGCTGCAGAAATAGTATTTACAGCCCATTCTAATCTGTCATGGAAGGACTACTCATTCACTTTTCAGATGTACTGACTACTTGCACTTTCTTTAGGATACATCAGTGAATATTAAAAAAAGAATTTTCTGTCCTTGTGGAAGAAGTAGCTTTGTTTCCCTGGGAGCAGGGCACTTGGTTTGCAGGGATTTCCTTCTTCTGCCTTGCATCTTGTTTCTCTCAAGAAATATAACACATTTCTCTGATAGAAAAATAACACCAAATCAACTGTAGATTCTGGTTTTCTTATTTAAATATATATGTATATATATACATTTTCAGGTAACAGTTTTTGATATATACCCAATAGTGTTACTTATTCATCAGTGATTATTCAAATCTTTTTCCAGGGTGAGAAAGGAGTTACACTGATCTTTTCAAACTCTTAAGTTTTTTTTTTTTTCTTTTAATCATGCTTTTTGTTGCCAGCAGCATAAAGAAATCAGATGGTGCTCAGGTGGGATCAAGTGCTCAGGACCTGGGAAAGACCAAAGTGCCTTGGTCTGTTTAGCACTGACATATCCTGGCTTTCATCTTAGCTTCAGTACCTGGTTTGCTGAGCTTAACTACCTTGTAATGCCAACCTTGAATGGAAAAGTAGATAGACTACTGGTTAAATAATGTCACTAAATATGCTATTTTTGAAAAGGTTGCTCCTCTTATTAGATACTGTCATTAAGCTTTTGCTGTCATATAATGCTGAGGATGTGTTTTCTTTTTGTTTAGCTTGTTTGTAGAGAAGCTTCCTAGCCACCGAGATTATCAGCAATGTGCAGTACCCGAAAAGCAGGATATCATGAAGGTACTGTGGGACCGACTCTCCACTGTGGGAGCCAATGCTCCTCCATAAGTGTCCATTACTGGTTCACCAGCCCCTTCCTTTCCTACTCTCTCGCTTCCCTGGAGAGTTTGTGCACAAGAAATTCATTCCATTAGCTATGATGCTTCGATTTCTTCTTAGACATTTAACAATTATGACCGGGCCAATGTGTGATGTCTAATTGATGGTGGTGGGTAAAAGAAAGAAAAAGGTTGAATTCTATCACCTGATGATGTGAAGGGATTATTTACATTTCTCCCAGAAATTGAGGGAATGATTATGTAATTTCCTGTGCTTGTCTGAGGCAGTCATTTTGACTGGTTTTAATTACTTTGTACAGCCCGGAACCCAGTAATTATTTGAAAATTGCTATGCATCATCATTATTATCATTGCTAGTATTATTTTGGTGATATTGAGAATGGAACACAGGAAGTACTGAGTGACCTCCCAGGTACCCTTTCTATCCTTCCTTTTTGAGACAGGGTCTTACTAATCGTCAGGTCTGGACTCAAATTTGTAGTACTCCTGTCTCAGCCTCTCAAGTAGTGCAGATCGCAGGCCTGCACTGCTGATCACCGTGTCATAGAATAACAGCTGATCACCATGTCTGGCCAGTCTTAGCTTTCAAGGCAGCTGCAGCATTCTAGCCACAGCTGTGTGCTACATAGTGATGCTTGGCCATGGACCACATGTGCAGTGTTGGTCACATCAAATTATATTGCCTCGTGACACTGTAGACACCTTAGTATATATAAATACATGTAACAAAATCCTGGGATGACATGTTTTTCAGAATATGTCCCCATCCTTAAATGTTCCATGATTGTATTTACCTCTCAGCAGACTTTGGCTTATGCATAGTAAGTCTTGAGAGATGGCCTACCTGATACATAACAATGAAAAAAAAAAGTTGTTGCAATTCATTTATTTATCAACAGCATTTGTTACACTATCTGTAGCTGAGAATACATCTATATACATATATAAAAATTTTTTTTGATACTGGGGATTGAATTCATGACCTTGCCAGGCAGGCTCTTATGCTGCTGAGTTATATCTCCGGCCCTGAGAACACATCTTTTTAAATAAACATTTACAATGTTTCTCACTCATCTTAGTTCATGTTGATCTTATGGGATATTAAAACACTGTATGCAAAGCCAATTGCCATATGATAATAATTAAGAATATTTTACTATGTTATAGAATAAAGACTCTCCTATAAGATTGGAGACTGCCTCGAAACAGATTTAGTTACAATTTTGATCACTTGCATTGTTAAATGTTTACACTTACTACTTTATCCTGTCTTTGTATAACATTTTTCCTTCATACATTCAACCTCAGAGAGTATGGAACAAAGGTCCTAGGCTGCCAAGGTGACCCCTGCTGTAACTGAGTGGTTTTGTTTAATCAGGAGGAGCAAACTTCTCCAAAAGCATTTCCTTTGTAAAGATTATTTTACATTCTTTTAAAAATTCTTTGTTTATGCTTGTTAAATAAATGGATAGGAGAATGAGTAACTAAATGACAAAGAATTAAAAGAGTAAACATTTTGGTGGAAGGGCCTTCTTGGCAGTAGGAGACTTGGCTTCTAGTCCTAATGGGACCACTTGCTAATTGTAAGATATGTAACAATTTCTCTACCAGTGATGATAACCTTTCAGAGCTTTGAATGGTAACACACAGCTGGCCCAACACCTGGAGCATAGGTTCACACCTGGCTTTTGTTTCCTTTTCTCCAGACAAAAGGGTGGAAATAGTCTCTATCTCGTTTTCGGATTTTCTGCCACTAAGAATCACAGAGAAAGTTTTCTGAGATTCAGATGAGGTGGTCTTTTATCTAGCAATGTTAATGTAGCACATCTAGCAACAGCCTCATATCTCTACAGTATTTTTACACAAAGTGTCTCACAGAGTACTGCTTTTTACATTTGGTAGGTCTAGGATTCCGTAACCACCCCACACCCACCAATGTTCTCTTGTAGCTGATTACATGTGTAATTACATGTAATCTGTATTACGATTACATGTGTAATCTGTAACTACTATCTAAAAACGGGATACTTGCCTAAACAAAAAACTTACCTAACCAGTGGGGTCAATAAAGATTTTATAAGATGATACTTTTTTGTTGTTTTTTACTTACCTTCTTAAAATTATATTTGGAGGCCTGGAATAGGGATATTTATTTTTCTTCCATTATCTTTGGTTACTTGTGACTTAATTTTTAATAAATGTACCAGCTGTTTTTTCTCTTCAGCTGATTATCTGAAAGAACATGCTAGTTGGCATATATATTTATATATTTATACATATACATATATATATTTATATATTTTATACATATACATATATATATATATATTTTTTAAAGAAACTGAAGGAGATTGCCTTCCCAAGGACAGATGAATTGAAAAAGGATCTTTTAAAGAAATACAATGTAGAATACCAAGAATATTTGCAAAGCAAGGTAAGTTCAATTGGTACATTTATTTCATGACTGTTTTCCATGCAAATATTTTTGAATTGCATTTTTATGAGTTTTTCAATCTCATATGCATTTAAATTAAAAATTTAAGATGCAGTGATATGAAACCAATAAAAAATTCCTGTTGATATTCAGGTTAAGTACTTGCACCAAAGATGTGGTATTTTTTTCCTATGACATCTAATAAAGCAGTGCATTAGGAAATAGATTTCCTGCTGAGATTTAAACAGAACTTTTGGACCATTTCTTGTCAATGTAACCTTGAGCCAAATGACTGCTTTTTCAGATGAACTGAGGCATAGGAAGTAGTGAGGATGGTGTTTGAATTCTGATGTGTCTAATTATATAAGTCTTAGAAATGTGAATTTGATTCTTATTATAGTGAATAATTTACATACAGATAGAACAACCCCTAATTGTGTTGTGTTGTGTGTATTCACAACATCAAGAGGTGGTGGTTTCTGATTGTTATTAAGTAAAAAGGGAAAGTGATAATGATATCTAAGAGATAGATATTGAAAAAAGAAATTGACCAGTCTGTAAGATACTCAGTTTAAAATGTGAATTCTCAAGTGTTGCTGCATTACTGTGGTTTGTGTGTGTGTGTTTGTTTGCTTTGGAGGTCGCCACCTGGATGACCTTTACTTTGGTTCAATCTCATTACATCTGGCTTGGCTTTCTCTGGGCATGGCCAGAAGGCTGGTTTGCATGACATATTTTAATTAAGTGACAGAAGGTAAGCTCAGAATTATGGGTATTAGTGATATTGAAATATGAAAGATAGAAATGATTTTATAGAGCAAGTCAAACCAACAGGGAGGGAGCACAGAGCTCAGCTCTGTCTTCCACAGTCAGCAAGGCAGACGCTGGTCTGCTGGACCACCTCCCTGGCAGGAGCAGGCTCAGCTGCTGTGCCGCCTTCTGTCTTGGGTGACACACCTGCCTCTCCAAGCACACTAGTGTCCTGTGTAGAAATCTGTCCTATGTAGAGTGATAGCAGCCACACCTAGGCGAATAGACCTACCCGTAATCCCAGGCTATCAACCATACCTTTGTTCCCAAGACACTTGTTAATGATGAAGAGTCTCAATCCTGTCTCCTTCATTACCCCCACCTTACATTAGCTCATCAAATCTAGTTTCCAGCAATATCATTTGGGAAGTTTATTAAAATCTTTGTTTTCTGATCTAATAATGCCTATATATTTTGTTGGGACTGAGGAACTTGAGACTCTGCATTTTTAACAAAAAGCCTGGTAAATTCTGATAGAAATGGTTAGAATAAAAGTTAAAAACTAGTACCAGAGAATGGAGGGAGCTTGATTGTCAGACCGTGTCTCTGGTAAAGTATGAGAGGATTTGGAACTGCTGTCTTAATCAGAGGAAGGTACATTTCTGTGGTGTGTTTTCCTCGTGAATGTCCCTTTGGATATATCAGTCTTCAACTGTCTCTTTGCCAGAAGATGGAAAGTGTGTAATCCCAGTTTGATGTTTTTCCATGAGAAATTAACCTTTTCTTCTGCCAACCCACATTGTTTAGAACAAATATAAAGCTGAAATTCTCAAAAAACTGGAGCATCAGAGATTGATAGAGGCAGAAAGGAAGCGGATTGCTCAGATGCGCCAGCAGCAGCTAGAATCTGAGCAGTTTCTGTTTTTCGAAGACCAACTCAAGAAGCAAGAGTTAGCCCGAAGCCAGATGCGAAGCCAGGAATCTCCGGCACTGTCAGAGCAGATCGATGGGAAAGCCCTCTCCTGCTTTGCTGCACACCAGGACAGTTCCTTGCTGAATGTATTTGCTGATCAACCGAACAAAAGTGAAGCAACCAGTTACGCTGGTCATTCACCTCCTGTCAACAGAGCCTTAAAGCCAGCAGCTACTCTAAGTGCTGTGCAGAGTGAGTGATGTCATGCACCCTTCAGAACACTGAGGCTGTTCCCTGTAGCGTTGGGAGGGTCTGTTCATTTCCTTACTAACTGTAGTAGGACGCCTACATTAAATGGTGTCCATGGCAGGGCTAACTTGTCTGTGCTCTGAAGCTTTCATGTAACTTTAAAATTCAGGAAACATGACTCACCTGATGATAAAGCAGGTTGCAATAAATGAGACTGTCCAGTTTTTCTCACTGAACACAGGCTTTAAATATGAATTCCTAGCATTCCTTTTCTTCCATATATTTTAACTAGATTTAGGTATGACCTAAATCTTAATGATAAACACTAATGTGGAGAAAAAAGAAGATACTGAACAAATTGTCCAGACTTTTGCTCTACAGTAAAATGGTTTCACATTATTCATGAATGGAGAGGATTTCCAACATAATTAACCTCCAGATGCAGTATGTATTTCTGCTAGCAATTAATACTAGTTAATACTGTAAGAACTATACTGGCAAGTACCCAAAATCAAATAAACAATTTGTGGAGGAGACATTGTCAGTTTGGTGTGCATAATTATTTTAAAAGTAAATACAATAGGCACTCATTTTATAAGCTACTTTACTGCTAATTATTTCCCAAAGTATACTTTTGCTCACTGGTCACTTACTGTCATTGAATATAAGCTGCACATAGTAAATATAATGAAGAATATTTATTCTGTATCTTACAGGAGGCCAGTCTTTGCATTTCATGATATATTTGTTATGTACTATAAGAAAATATCCAAATGCATGGAGATAATTGTCCAGGGCACAAACACATAAAAATGCTCACAATTTACCCCTTTATTTATAAAGCAATTTATATACAAAATGTAATTTTTTTTTCTTTTTGGTAGTTTGTTTTTAAGAATTTTAAAACATATTATGGAAAATGACATACCTAATAACTTTAGACTTCATATTTACATTAACTCTCCAAAAACAATTTTGAAGAACAGAATATAGGATTTGTTTTTAGCTTTTTGTCCTGTTTCTGTGTCTTAGATTTAGTGGTTGAAGGATTGAGATGTGTGGTTTTACCAAGAGATCTTTGCCACAAATTCCTGCTGCTGGCGGAATCCAATACAGTGAAAGGAATAGAAACCTGTGGCATACTCTGTGGGAAGCTGGTATGACATTTTTGTTTATCTCTCTGCACAAGATGCTTTCAATAGTATTAGATTTTGTATGATTAGCACAGCAGAATTTAAGCTTGCTAAGAGTTGTAAATATTATGAAATTGATTTTATATAGATTAACTTCATAAGTCTACTGTCATTATTCAAGTAATATGTCTCTAGAAAATAGGTTGTTAAATTTCAGAGGCACTGTTAAAGCTTATTTTAAGAAATAAAACTATAAATTAAATCTTTGTTTAGAGAAGTGGTAGATTACAAGTCTGTAGATTTACAAATTTACCTTGTTTGCTAAATCAAATTTCACGGCAATTGCTGGTTTCACACACTTTCTTGTGATTAACTTTTCACCTGTTCTTACCTCTGGCAAATATCCTCCCATCCTTTTTCAAATACGTGTGGAATGAAATTGTAGTTTGGTTGTTTTCTTTAGTTTGCAGCAATAGTTTCAGCAAACTAAAATCTATAATCACTGATCATATTTATGAACTCTGTTGCCAGAAGTCTGATAGAAGACAATGTCAAATTAGAAGCAGATGAAGGAGAGAGGACCCATTTAATTTCCTCTTGAGTCCTTTCATAGGCTTTATAAGTTTCAGTTTACATTTCTAGGTCCAGGCACATTTGTAGTCTTTAACATTTAGCATGAACAAATGTTTTATGTGACATATTCTCTGACTGAATTCCAAGGTTTCTTCATTAGCTTTCCTCTAAGAGAGGAAAACATTGGTCACAAGCACACAGTGACCCGTCGTCTCCTCTGTGGTCATGATTGTGGTTTTAGTGTGTGATGCTGTATCCCACACATGATATTTAATTTGGTTGTTTGTTACATTGATTCATTATTCATTCATCAGACAAATATTTAATAAATGTCTATATGTTCCAAAGTCTTCCAAGGCATCAAGTGGCCTGGAACAGTCCTAGTCTCTGACAAGTGAAGCTTACAAGATGCATATGAAGAACCAGGAAGAGCAACTACTCTAAGCTCTCAGTGGAAGCACAGGGCGGCATGGAAAGCTGCCCTTGTTTAGGGAGAATGGGGGAAGGGTTTGCAATTGCAGTTGAAAGAAAAGTGTCCAATCTGCTGGAGCTTCTAGCGTTAGAGAGGATGGAGCTGGGTAGGGATGGCAAAGCCAGCCTGCACGGGGAAGACAGCTCCTTACAGAACAAATGGCTGTCGCTTCACCACCTCAGGAGCACGTTTTTAACCTTTACCTTTTTACCTCAGAGGCCTACTGTGCTTTTCTGTGCTCTTATGTAATTGTAAAAGTCAAAACATTATCAAAATTATGGGACAGCCTAGTTAATCCTCCCCAAATTAGAAGAAAGTCCTAAGTCTTTAAGAGAAACAAAATATGGTTAATTAAAAAGAAAGAAAAAAACAGAGTACAAAGAACCATCTCCCTCCACAACTCTCAGAATGTTTCCCAGTAACACATTATTTAGGCAGTATCTCTTCCTCCGCATGAACCTGCCCTGTTTTTGTTCTCACTTTTTCTGTGATAGATCTAATATGTCAAGGCATTATTAATAACTAAACTTCCATGGACCCGCACCCCATCTCTCAGGGTGCTGATCCTATCTGAGATATACTTCCTGCAGTGAAAATGGGTTTCAAGCTGTAAACAACTGACTCTCAGAACTTTTCATGAAGCATCTATTTTTATGTTGGGACTTCCGTTTTTGAGCTGGGGGAGGGCCTGCGGGTGGTACAGATGGTAGGAATAGTTTCCAGTAGCAAACCATGACTTATCCTATTCACATTTTTTCCCTGTCTTGTGCCTGTTCTTATGTTTTAAATTGTTTTTTAGACACATAATGAATTTACTATTACTCATGTGATCGTGCCAAAGCAGTCTGCGGGACCAGACTATTGTGACGTGGAAAATGTCGAAGAGTTATTCAGTGTTCAGGATCAACACGGCCTCCTCACTTTGGGATGGATCCATGTATGTTTGACCTTCTAAATCTCATATATTTTTGTATGGTCTTTTAATTTCCTCTGGAAGAAATTTAGCTTAAGCATTTTCTTCACTGTTAGGCTGTGGCTAACTCTGTCAAGTTTGGATTTGAAGAGGGGCTTCTTAAACTTTTTGGTGCCACCTAAAGTTAATACAGACTGTAACATTTGGAAGTGAGATGACTTTCTGATGACTTTGCGTAGTCTGGTGAGGCTTTGCTAGGTTTTTTTAAACTGACTTGATAGGCGGTTTATAATGTTCTCTTTCCTTTTGCAGTGTTTCTAAACTGGGTGATTTTTAAAAACTTTCTGGAGAAGTTTGTTTTAAATAGCTATTGTATATTTCAAATAGGATCCACACATTCTATAGCACCATCCTTATGGCCCAAGAGTAGTTACATGAATGTATTAACAGCCATGGAGTTGGGCAAATGGATAGGATGAAGAATGTTGGGATCTGACATCTACTAGGCCATCATAGAAGCAGAAAAAGGCTTAAAAATCAAATAGTTGTATAAGTCTCAGCTTGTTAAGAATTCATTATAGCGGGGCTGGGGATTTAGGGGGCTGGGGATTTAGCTCAATGGCATAAGCACCTGACTTGCAAGCAAGCGGTCATGAGTTCGATCCCCGGTACCGATAAAAAAAAAAAAAAAAAAGAATTCATTATAGCAACATTGGCAAATCACTCAACCAGTCTGAGCATCAACTTTATCATTCAAAAACAGAGAGCATAATGATTGATTTTGTGACAATGAGTATTAAATGAGAAAATGTCAGTGAATTTTTTAGCCTATTTTTCTGGGCTAAAAATTCAGAAAAATTGTGATTCTTGTTATTGGTAATGATGTTCTTTCCTGTCTATAGTTCAATCCATGTAATAGACACCTTTTCCATTCAGTCTCATACATCTGGACCTGGGGTACGGTCTTAGTCCATTTATGCTGCTAAAACAAAATACTTGAGATATGGTAATTTTTAAAAAGCAGAAAGTTCTTTCTTACAGTATTTGGGGACTGGGATCTGGGAGAGCCACTGTGCTTCCTAGGTGATCTTTGATAATGTGGGAGGCAAGAGAGAACCTTCCTTCAACTCCAAGCTGTTTTATGAGGTGCTAATAATCACTTCCAAGGCCATACTTCTTAATGATGTTGTATTGGAAATTAAGCTTGATATGAATTTTAGAGGAAGCATTATCATCCAAACCATAGTAGGTAGGAGAAATCCACTCCACTGCCATGGAATGCTGGCCAAGATTTTCAGAGCACATCCTCTGCAGACACCTCTGAGAGCCCCTAAAAAATTAAAAACAAAAATGAGCAATCATTTTGTATTTTATTCAAAAATACTGGTAGAGGCAGCAACACACTCTCATATGCACACAGTCTCGCATGTACACTTCAAGTATTTAGTGCCAATTCAGGAGCTGTAGGGGACTTTATTCCTGCTCCACCTTAAACTGCTCTGTGCCGTAGTCAGGACTCCTCCTCCCCCTATTTCCAAGTTTCCCCACTGAATGCGCGAGGCCAGTGAATGCTGCTTTTTTTTTGTTGTATTAATGTGAGCAGTAAACAGGGTACCAGGTGTGGAGACCTGTTGAGAGGTACAATCTGGCTCTCACATGCAAGAATTAATTTATAATGAAGAGATTACAAAACCTTGCCATATATCTGTCTGCTTAACAGTAAATAATATGCCTGTCTACTTGGAAATTGCTCATTTGAAAGCCATTATTTAGCCTAATATAATTTCGGTAACGAGTTTATTTTAAAGCAAAGCAAATTATAGTAAATACATTTGTAACAAACTGAACATTACAGTACTTTAAATTACACGCCTATATTAGCAAACCAGTGCTAGTTTATCATATAAAACATTCCCGAATTAAAAACAAATATTTTTTTCCTATGAACTTCCCTGTGTATAATGTATGTAGTAATGAATCCAAGTTGTTTAACTTATGAGGGTGGCGCAGTTCTAGAATTATAGAACTTTGTTTTTAAATTTATTTAATTGATTCAAGTTTTTATAGTTACTTGAAAATACAAATGTGTTACATTTCTAAGGGTCAATGCTTTTACCGACTTTTGTGGTGGTTTTTATAGAGCACAATAGTAACAACAAATTTCAGAACATTTTTTCAGATGTAAATTAGTTATGGAAAAGAAAGGCTGAATCAGAATCAGACAGACTTGAATTTGAATTTAGAATTCTTGGCTTGACTAGCTGTGTAAACTTCAGTGAGTTACTTATGCTCTGTACCTCAGCTTGTTCATCTGTAAAAAGGGGGTAATAGCACTGATCATATCTTGTTTTGAGAAAGTAATCAGTTCAGTACCTAGTAAGTTATTCAGCTGCAGTAAATGGCATTTGCTGCTCTTATCGTCCTCATCCTCATCATTTTGATTTTCTTAGGGTCAGGGAATGGGGACTGCATTCTCTCAGGAGGCAGATGTCCTCATCAGAATAGAAGGGATCCTTATTGGTGAAATGAAATACTCAGATGGTCGTGTGGTATGCGTTTCCTCTGGAAATAAATTGACACATAGAGTGCTTTGTCTTTTTGACAGCCTGCCTTCTGCCTCTGTATCACAGTAATTCCTTCAAACAAATTTTATTTCTTTACCAAGGCATGAAAACTCTAATTTATCCAAAGAAAGTCCTCCCAGGGGCTGGGGATTTAGCTCAGCAGCATAAGCACCTGCCTTACGAGCAGACAGTTGTGAGTGAGTTCTATCCCTGGTACCGATTAAAAGTTAAAAAAATTACTTTACAAAACAATAAAAGAAAGTCCTCTTTGTTAGATAACAAGCTGTCAGGCCCTCCACTCATATCCTTACTAAGCATTTGGGTTTTAAAGTGAGAACCGGGCAGGGAGTTAGCTCAGTTAAAGTATGGGGTCAGCTTGCGTAAGGCCCTGCTTTCAACCCAGCACCACTCACAGAGCATATGCATGTGTCAGGGTGATTTTCATTCCTTTGTTGATCGAGTTCTTTATAGGCCAAGAGTTACATTTTCTTTGTAGAACAACTTTGTCCTTATGAGCAGGTGATTTTGCATTTGTCCTATCAAATAAGTAGGAAGAAATTGAAAACCCTTTCATTTCTATAACACACCCTGGTGTGTATAAGTGCATTAAGCATATGCCCTTTAGTTAATAATGAAATACATTAAAATGACAGCAGACAACTTTTGTTCCTTTCTATATGCTAGACTGTGTTGTAAGACTTTTACATGGATTGTCCCATTTAATCCTCATATCAGTCTCATGGAGAAAATGATTATCATCAACTTTCAGAGACGACATGACCAAGGAGTGGTTTGGTCATCCTCATTTTGCTATGAGTGAGTCATGGAGCCAGGACCCAGCTAGTGTGTATCAAAGACCTTTGTTTCATGATTAAAAGTCACAGTATTTTTTTAAGAGACATTAGGGGTTAATGCATGTCTAAATTTCTTTTGATTTCTATTCTCTTCATTCTCATCGTGTAGGCATTCAGCTGTTGTGCACGATGATTCCTGAGCATCTTTAATAACCTGGAGACTCCCATCCTCTCTTTATAGGGAACAGCGGATCCATAGGAAGATACACAGTACCATGTGGTATATCAGTGAAAACTTTCACGTCTACAGTTTTGTATACAAGCATTTCTGTGCCAGGGCCTCCAGCCGTAGAAACCTCTTCTTACCAGCTGTGGACCTGATTGCTTTATCTTTCTGAGTCTCATGGAAAATTGAAATAATAAAATAACTGATCATAGATGCATTGTGATAATTAAATAAGAATCATATTTAAGACCTTTGGCAAATCATTTCTGGCTTTTTGGGGTTTTTTTTCCTTCTAGCACTAGAATTGAATTCAGAACCTTCACACTGAGCTATCCATCAGCCCCTTTGTCTTATTATGTTTTGTAATTTTACATTTTTGACACAAAGAATCACTAAGTCAGTAAGGTGTCCAAGATGATTTGAACTTGTGATCCTCCTGCCTCAGCTTCCCACAGTGCTAGGATTATAGATGTGAGTTACCAGGCTCAGCTTCCAGCTCTTTATTTTTCCAGTAAAAAGAAAATATATGACACTCTGGTTATGTAGTATTTACTCCAAGAAAATCATAGGTATGTGTAACTGAAAGGATTATAAATAACAGTCAAACACTATTTAAACTCCTTATTTAATTAATAAAGGCACAAAAGAAAAAAGCACGGGGGGGGGGGTTTCTCTTTGAATAGCCTGTGGCCTTGGTTAAGCCTCAGCTACCCTAACACTCATCCTCTCCCCTTTTTACAGACACACCCCACACAAACTGCATTCCTGTCCAGCGTGGATCTCCACACTCACTGCTCTTATCAGCTCATGTTGCCCGAGGCTGTGGCCATTGTTTGTTCCCCAAAACATAAAGAGTAAGTGTGACCTTGGAGCTCCCAAGAAAGGCTTTTCTGGGGCTGTTGGGTACATGTCTGTACACAGGGCATGTCCCTGGGGTAGGCGAACACATGATGGCCTCTGGAAGGAGAGATGGCCGCGCCAGTGTCCATACACTTGGGGTTCTGAAGACTTACTTTTTGAGGTTCTTTCAATTGGTAGTATTTCTGGTGTGACCTTAAAGTGGATGACATGTAAGAGGGATGTTATTATTCCTGTTTAGTATTTGAGGGTTCTCTTTCTTTCTTTGTTTTTGTTTTGTTTTGTTTTTGTTTGTTTTTCTTTTGGTACTGGGAATTGAACCCCAAACCTTTGTAATGGGCTAGAGCCCCAGCCCTTTTTAAAGCTCCCCCTACCTTCACTTGTTACATTTTGAGAAAGGGTCTCACTAATTTGTCTAAGTTGTCCAGATAGGTCTCAAACTTGTAATCCTCCTGCCTCAACCTTCCAAAGTGCTGGGATTACAAAGTGTGCCATCATGTCCAATTTGACTTTTGAGATCCTGTTTCTACTGTATGAAATCACCCAACGTTAGCTCAATTACCCTCATTTTGGGAGACAAAGTTTACTGTAGAATAGTTATGCCCATAGGAGTCTGGTGAGCCTATTTTGGAATCCTGGCTGCACGCTCAGAGTCACAGGATACCTGGCCACTGTGAGCCTCAGTTTCCTCATCCCTCATCCCTGTTCACGCTGGGTCCATGTGAGGGACAGGGATTACGGGACAGTAGATGTAACATGCTTAGCAGAGCACTTGAGAATAAATATTTTCTATTGCTATAAACAGCATTACCGTGATTAGAAAAGTTAAAAATATTTGTGCTTATAATTTCATCATGGTGGCGGATGCTGTCCAGCTGTCGTGTTCTCACACAGCCTCGAGGCTTCCTGCCCCGTCATGGTCCTGTAGGCAGCTCCTCCTGAGGTTCTCTACACTGGCCAGTCAGGGAAAGATAAGTCTAAAAAACATCGCCGTGGAATTCTTAGTTCTTGTTTTCTTCCTTCGTCTCATTTAGGGGATAATGCATACAGTGCCTCTTGTTCAGGTAAAGCGTCTGGAAAATGCCAAGTAATCTGAGCTTTTATTCCTTTTTTTGCCCTAAAATGTAGCACTGGCATCTTCAGGCTCACTAACGCTGGCATGCTTGAAGTGTCTGCTTGCAAAAAGAAGGGCTTCCACCCGCACACCAAGGAGCCCCGGCTGTTCAGTGTGAGTAGACGGTGGGGTTATTTTTGTAGATACTCAACCCCATTCCCCACTCCACACAGCTGTTTTTCAAAGGAGAAAACTGGCAGCAGTCTAACATGGGAAAAAGACTCAACTGCTTAGTTTGGACTATTATTGTACTTTCTAATTTCTGTGTTATTTTATTGGCAAGAAAATGTCAGGATTTCTGTGGTTGAACTGATTATACATAAAGTTACCAAACCATTTATGTATTTGTATGTTGCTTCAACAGTGTTTTCTTGAGAATCCAAATAAGCAAACAATTGTTAGAAAACATCGTCTTAAAAAGTCTCATCAGGGGCTGGGGATTTAGCTCAGCGGCATAAGCATCTGCCTTTCAAGTGCGCAGTCCTGAGTTTGATCCCCAGTACCAAACAAAACAAAACAAAAAAGTCTCATCAGTACTTTCTGCTTGATTTGGCTAAATTAATTATTTCATTATGATTCAATGGGAACTGTAATCATTCTTTCTCCTCTCTCTATTTATTCATTTTTATGATGCTAGAGATCAAACCCTAGTTTTTCAAACTAAGCTACTTTCCCAGTGCTTTTTAAATTTTTCTCTTTATTTTGAGACAGGTTTTTGCTAAGTCAGTAAATTGCTGAGGCTAAGCTTGACCTTGTGATTCTCCTGCCTCAGCCTTCCAGAATACTGGAATAAAATGCATGTGCCATCATGTCTAGGTTGTAACCATACTTTTTGATTCACTTTATGTAGCCCAAAAGGAGAAGTATTTGACTGCATCTTTTTTTGTCTAATTATTTTGTTAAGGATTCTGTGGACTGAAGCATTATTTTGAAGTCAGAATTTATTTAAAATGGAAATTACTTGATAACTTCTGCAAATAATTTTTTGTTTTTGAAAATGAATAAATATGACCTTTGTTCTGATTGAGAATATTGTTTAAGCTGCAAAATTGTCTAAATTAGGAAACCCATAATCCCTCCTTAAAGAGAATTAGATGCTATACATGGTCATACCAAGCTGACTTCTTTTCTTTTCTAGATATGCAAACACGTGTTGGTAAAAGACACGAAGATGACTGTGCTGGATCTGAGGTGATCCGTGCTGCACGTGAGCACGGTCAGCACCAGACCCTGCTGTGGACATGTGGTTGCCGGATATCCTTAAGATGTTTCCAGAAATGACTGATATTTTATATTTATACATTTTAGATCAGAAAGTTTGATATTTATTGCTTTTGCACATTTGAAGTTTTCTTTTTCAGTTGCTTTGTCTCAAGACAGGCCACATGGTGTTAAATCAAGGCCTGTTACTGTATCCAAATACTATTATTAGGTAATAAATTATGCTGCAGGCAAGAGTGTGTCTGGTCTCCAGATCTTCAGATTTTTTGCTACATTTAAAAAAATTTTGTAAAGCTTAATTGCAAACAAACCTTGAGTGCAGGTCGCCTGTCGGGAAAATCTCGCTTTCCCGTGGTAGAGAGCATGTGAGAAGGTGCACAGCAGCAGCCAACAGGGCTCACCCTGTGTCCAAGTGTCACTGTGTCGGAGGCTTAGGAAGTCTGTTTGCCGTGAATCATCGTGAGATCCCAGAACAACAGGCTTCACTCAGGGGTCAGGTGTCAAAGGGCAACAGAAGCACTCCCTTTTTGGTTTAATGATTTCTGTATTCCAAGAACAGTATTTTTCTGTGCTCTGTGCTTGGCTAAGTTATCATCCTCCCCACTTAACCTATTCTTCAGGACTAGTGGCATCCCACCGAAGTTCAGCACATTTTCATTCATGAAGAAGTTGCTATGGGCAGATCAGTGACTTAGTCTTATTTATGAACTTAAAGCCTTGGAAAGTTTCGATGTCAAACTTTAGAAGAGTTTAGCTTGTCCTATGCGTGGGCCCTTGAGCCTATGCCCATCACTAGCTAAGGGCAAATTAACTCTGCAAAACCCCTCCACTGTTCCTTGAGTGTGCCGTCCCCAATTTGTAAGCACTTCAAGACACTGACATTCTTGTATATGTGGGCAAAGAAAAAGATTATGTAATTTATTCTTGTAAAAATAACTGCTGGGACAAGGCATAGTTGAGATTTTAGCATATTGACAAGAGTCATACAACTCTGGCCACAATCAATTGTATCAGCAATACAATAACAGACAAGTGGTTATAAAATGATGTCTGAAGAGAAACTACGGCACGGAATGATGGCTGGAGAGAGAAAGCACTCAGTTGAAAGCCAAGAACTTTTAGCTTCTTAGATTTCCAAAGAGGATAGCAAGAGAACTTGTCCGGTTGCAAAGTCTATTGGGCTCCTTTAAATAAAAATTAGAAAAAAATCCATTTTTTTGTTAAAAAGTTAGATTGTATCCCCAGGCCAAAAGAGGCATTCTTAACACATATTTCCTGGCAAGAAGGGCTAAAGCTTTGGGAGGGAGGTAAAGCATGAAAAGTTCTTTGGGGAAGGGGTTTTGATTTTCTTATTGCCAAGTACAAACCTGATTAATCAGACTGCATGGAAGAACTTGCCATGGAGCTGAATTCTTGGAGACTGCAAGCCAGTGACCCCGAGGCTCTGTGTCTGAGGACGGACATGCCACTGACATTGGCCATGAAGCAGAGGAGTCACAAGTGTGACTGGCCCTTGGCCACCCGTGCTCTTTGAATGAGCTTCCTTCAAAAGAGCCCATTTCCAGCAGCAGGTCACCTCCTCTTTTGAATGCAAATCAGGTCCAGGGCCCCACAGGCCACTTGCTTTCCTCCCAAGGCAAAAAGTCAGAGTTACCACAATTTTCCAGAAATTTTCTGATTTGTGTTTCTGTACCAATTTATCTCAAACTTCTCTTGATTCTGTACTAGTCTGTTTATTGTACACAGAGCCTGTCCCCCAGAACGTAGTCTGAGGTCTTAATGCTTCCTGCCTCAGAATGTGACGAGATCTGCCGTGGCATTCCATTAAAGTGAGGCCACTGGAGAGACCCTAAATCGGTATGGCTGGTGTCCCCGTGAGAACAGATTAGGACTCTCACACAGAGAGAAGTGCAGGTCAAGACACAGGAATAAAGCGGCCATCTACACGCGAAGGAGAGAGGTGTCAAAAGATGTCTAAGACCAACCCACAAGTTGGTCTTACACATCTGGCTTCTGGAACTAGGAGAAAATATATTTCTTTTGTTTAAGCCAAGCAGTATTTTGTTATGGAAACCTTAGCAAATAAATACAGTGCTTAATAAACATTCATTGAGAACATGTGTTTTTCTTGCCTCTCAAAACGATGGAAAATGGCTTTCCTTGTTATGATATGGGGTAGGAATTATTTTCTTCTCCTTAGAAGAGCAAAGCAAAATGTGCATTATTTTCAGCTACTGAAAATGTTCCTAGTTTCTTTTTAGTAGAGTTTTGCTTTTGGAAAACAGCCCTTTAATTTGAGACCACATCCTAGAATTAGTTCATTCTTTCTCCCGCTTCATCCCGTGCTGCAGCCACAGTAATGGTGCTGGGGACAGGATTATCCAACAGCCTGGCTTTAGTGGAGCTTTCTATCGCAAAAACAGCAAAGTGGTTCCAGATGTCAAAAAGCAGATGCTTCTCTTGCAGCATATCTTGCAAATTGATCTGGCAAGAGAATGCTTTTTGTGTAGAGGATGCTTGAGAAATGCCTAGTAATGAATGGAGGTAAACCTGTAACTCAGTTCCTAGAAGAATTTGGTTTGTTATTTATCATGAAGACACTTCCTGTATAAAGAACTCTTTTCATTTAAGAAAAATGTTAACTTTTGTAGTACCTTGACCTGTCACTGAAGTATGTGTTTATTTTCTTTGGAGGTATCTTTGGTGGGGAGGGACCGTTAAATAATGGTTCTTTGTCACTTTATCTGTATCCAGAAAAGATATCTTAAAAAGTTATCAAAAGGCAAATCTTACTGCAGGCCATTGAAATGAAATACCATAAACTGAGTGGCTTGAGCAATAAAAACATTGGTGTCTGACAGTCCTGGTGGCCGGACATCCGGGAGCACAGTACCACCATGGTCAGCTTCCAGGTGAGGGCCCTCTTCCTAGCTGAGGGACTGCCTCCTGCCTTCATGTGGGAAAGAGAGAGGACTGTCTCTCTTACATTCTACTTAGAGAGATTACTAATCCGATGGTGAGGCCTCCTGACATAATTACTTCACAAAGGCCCACTGACTCCAAAAATAGATATGTTAGGGGTTAGGATTTTGACACGATTCGCAGGGAGGAGAGAACACCGATGTACAGACCCCAGTAAGGCCAGTGCTGAAAAGCTACTTTTTAAAAAAAATCTTGCAGTCCGCTGTGAGGCTTCTGCTATACATCTCCTTAGAATTCATAGTAATTATGTTTGAAAGTACTATTCAGATGAGTATGTAAATAGCTGTTATCTCTGATCTTCAAACGGATTTAAAAAATTTCTCATTAAAAAATTAGCATTCAGAAACAATTCCTAGGTCATTAAGTCAGACTAGGTATTAGACTGAAACTCCAGGACAGTTCCATCCACCTTGTAGCATATGTCAATACTGTATTCCTTTTTAGGGAAACAATCCATTGTGTGTACACTCCGCACTGTGTGTATCCCCTCGTGCACTGGTGTACACTTGGGCTATTTCTATCATTTTGTGATTTTGACTAGAAGAGCACATTCATGTACATAAACTTGTTTGAATAGTTGTTTACAATTCTTTTGGGTGTATGTATACCTATGCCTGGAACATAAGGTCATATGGTTTAACTTTTTTTTTTTAACACTGAACTATGTTCTTAATTGTTGTTTATTTCTTTTATTTTAAGACATAGTTTTGCAATTGTGGCTAAGGGTCTGGGATTGAATTTGCAGTCCTCCTGTCTCAGCCTCGCAGAGTGTGGGATTATAGGAATGTGTGTTTAACGTCCCAAGGGGCCTCTAGGCTGTTTTCCACAGCAGCAGAACCATTTTACGCCCCCTCTAGTAGTCTACAAGTGTCCCAAATTTCCCGCATCTTCACTAACATTGTCTTTCTGTCTTTTTTAAATTTTAGCCATCACAGTAGATTATAAAGTAGCATCTTGTGTTTTTGACACAGTAATACACAATTATCGTAATTCTGTTCAAATTTGTTAATAGAATAGAAATGATGATGATTGTGGGGCCCGAAGTGAACTTGCTTCCCTTGTACTCACAGGGTTGTAGTCCCCAATCTCAGACTTTTATCAAGTCTGTGAACAGCAGGTTGAGAAAGAGAATGTGATTTTATGAAGGATGATCAACTCTTGCATGATAGATTTAGACACAGAGAAGAGAGAACAAGCAAAAAGAACCATAAGTAATAGCACCTTAAAACACTGTTGTTGCTTTCCATCAAACTCAATAGTTTATGCTTTGTAAAGGGAAGAATAACTGAAGATCCATTTGAGTTCACAACTTTTTTTTTTAATAACAAGGGTTAGTTGTAAATTTGGAGGATAAAGTTAACCTGTTAAATGAAAATTTTCCTAAGTATGCCATTTTGTAAGTGAAGCCAGAGATTATGATTTGAGGTCATTTCTTAGAGAAATGCAACAAAAGTTATGGAGGGAAAAGGAATAATTGAATCAATAAAAAAAAAGAAAGATTGAAACTAAATGCAGAGAGAAAGTAATAAAAATATAAAAATAAAGCATGTTTTAATGTGATATGTCTACAATTCTACATATTTTTTACAAAGATAAAAACTGTACTTAGAGATATATGACATTTAGACCTCTGAAAAAATCTGTCACTGACTATAGTTATGTAGGAGCAAATTTGGTCATTATTGCCTTGAAGACAGCATGTGTCACAAACCCAGTTCTATAGTGTCTTCAGCCTATAAGGGGTATGGAATTGCTCCAAGTGGAGCATTCTGGAGGGGCAGTGTTTGAGTCTTCATTTCCCAGATATGCGAGAGGGGAGGAATTTTCATCTCCCTGCAAGATGAATGCTCATGAAAAGGAAATGAATCAAAAATACCAACTTTCCCTCCAAAGTGCCAAAGTTGCTTGTAATTGGTGTCTGATTCCGAGATAGACACTGCACAGAGCAAGTGTTACCAATGCTGCTTTGGAAAATTGTAATAGAGTCAGTGACACTTCTCAAGTCCATGTGTGATCCAGGTGTTTGAAGTTCTTTTCAGTTCCCTCTGCACAGCACACTGCCCTCTCTGACCCTCTGCTTCCACACGTCCTGTGTATGTCCCAGTCCCTCTCCAACCTCAACCCCCCCCCCAGTCCCCCTCTCAACCCGTTTGTTGCCAACTTAACCCTTATGCTTTTAAACTGCTGAAGCACTAGTATCCCCTAGCTCAGGCTACCACCCTTGGCTAGAATCATATTTCTTTCATATGAAA